TTCCTGCTGGGAGAGAACTGCGTTTTATCTCTGTATGTTCCTATTAGGGAAATAAATATCCTTGCTCGGTAAAATCAGATGCAGTGTGATTCAGTTTTAGGAACTTGGAGGAGGAACGGAGGCCGCATTGTAACTGGGCCTCGGGTTGGAGGCAAGGACATGGTGTGCTCTCCTCCAAACAGGCGTCTTGCCCACGGTGGCCTTGCGGTGCCTGGCAGGCCCAGGCTCCCCCCCGCCGTCTGGCTGGGTTTGCCTAAGGGCTTTGCCGGCAGAGGTGACAGGACGGTCCCCGAGTGTGGCCAGACACAGATGCTGTAGTGTTAGTGGGGACACCCCCTTGATCTCTCCCAGCCGTTCGTGCCCCTTCACCCCAGTGCTGCAGTTATCGACGTTGTTCCCTGTGGACAAAGGAGCCACAGGTCCCCGCGAACCATTGGCTGCTGTGGAGCCAGCCCCGACTGCAGCTCTGGGCCCCGCAGGAGGCTGCCCGAGGCATTAGTGACCTTCCTGTGGACCTGCGTGTCCATCACCCAGCTCCCTGAGTCCATGCTCGCCTCTCCTTTCTTCTCTTTTCCGCTCACAATTTTTAATGCACGGACAGTCTCAGAACGTGAAAGCGTCTTATGCATCAGGGGAAGATGCTGTGACGGGGAGTGATGTCTCGCACGGCGTGCCCCTGAATGTCATCAGGACATTGGAATCAAGCTCCTCATCCGTGTAGCTGGGCCCCGCTGTGTGCCCACCCTTCTCCACCTGCACCAGCCCCCTTGTGCTGCTCAGAAGGGAGGAGAAAGAAAAGGTGACAAAACCAATGTCTGGATGAAGCCAGTGTGTGAAATGGGAAGAAGGGCCGTGGGCCAGCCTCCGGACACCCCTGGCTGCGCATGTCTGAGTAACACACGTGCCTTTGAAATCCCAACCAGACCCTCAGCAGCGTCTAGATCAGGGGTGGGCAAACTTTTTGACTCGAGGGCCATGATGGGTTCTTAAACTGGACCGGAGGGCCGGAACAAAAGCATGGATGGAGTGTTTGTGTGAACTAATATAAATTCAAAGTAAACATCATTCCATAAAAGGGTACGGTCTTTTTTTTCAATAGTTTTATTCATTTCAAACGGGCCGGATCTGGCCCGCTGGCCGTATTTTGCCCACGGCTGGTCTAGATTCAGCCCGCAGGTGGGACGTGCCTATGGCGCTGAAAGTAAACACAGTGTCTGCCAGCCTCTTCCTGCTCTAGGACCAAGTTCCGTTTTTAAACACCAGAGCAGACATCTGATTTGCATCCCCTTCTCTGGCAGCGGTGCCGGTGCCGTAATTTAAACCCTGCCTTCGGGGGTGCGTGGCCGCCGTGTCAGGGAGCGCAGCGGTGGCCCTTGCCGGGGTGAGTTACGGCCTGGCGGTGCCCTGTCAGAGTTAACTGTGCGGCCGTGATAAATCCCGCTCTCCAGGAGTTCCGGGGACGGGAGAGCAGAGGGCTGGTTTCTCACATTTGAAGTCCGTCTAAATCATCCCGTTGACATTTTATTTAGAGAACATGCGGCGTTTGCTGCATATGTGGGATCTGCATTCCTCACATTTTTTATGTTTGCATTCCGAGAGCCGCTTTTCACAGGCGTCTCCTCCCGTGGCCGGGCACAGGAACGCCGCGGGGCCAAGGCGTGCACAGCGGGGTCTGTCTGAATGCACCCGAGTCCCTGCGTGTGTGTGTGGGGCTCTGCCAGGCCTGCGGCTCCTCAGAGCAGACTGCCCCCGGACGGCAGGGGTATTGGTTGGATAACGTGCACTGGGCTGTCCACTGCTCACGAGAGTGACCTGTGCCTCAGTTTCCTCATCTGTGAAATGGAGGCAATGGTTCTCTTCCTAAGGGTCCCGCGGGTGGTGACGGCAGTCCAGGGAGAATATAGAAATCTCCCCGCGAGAATGCGGGCGCCCGGGGAGAACTGAGCTCTGCCAGACAGAACGTCTGGAGCCCAGGCACTCGCCTCCTTCTCCAGCTCACACGGGTCATGCAGACCCGGGAGGGGGTGTGCGAAGCAGCCTCTTAAGGCAGTGCTGTAGGTGTGCGTGCGTGTGCAGGTGGGCGTGCGTATAGACTGATGATAGATAAGTGTTTCCTGCTCTGAAGAGAGTCTCCAGCGGAGATTTGAAATGTACTCAAATTGTCTTTCACACACTTGCCTCTGTGTCTAGCCCTGGGGAGAGATGACTTAGATAAAATATTATTATTTCAGGCTCGTCTGCCCCTGATGACGCTTCCCTTTTGATGTTTGGCCAAGAAGCACCACTTGCTCAGACATAACTCCGCGGTTATGGACTGTTAGCCCCTTTCTAGTTCTGCTCCCGCCTCTGACTGACTGGGAATTCCTTACAGGGGCTGTGAAAAACGGGGCTTCTGGGACTCCTGAGGGTCTGACAACAACCCTGGAGGACCCCTAGGCGTCCCTAAATTGAATGTCTAAAATAAACACTATTTTTCAAAAACGTAGGTAATGAGTGTATTTTAAAGTTATAAAAACAAAATAACAATGACATTAATGAAACTTTTTTTTAAAAAAAAACACAACTCTCATGATGCATTTAGAATTATAATGTTGCTTATAATGTTCTTATCACTGCCATTACTTCGGGAATTTCTTCCTGACGTCTGGGTTTTGGTAAATGCGTCATAAATTCTGGCTGTAATTTTCTCCACCCGCGTGTTCTCGCCCGTGTTTACATTAGGCATAATGGATGGACGGGCGGCTAGGACGGCAGCAGGACTGAGCCTGGGTTCTGTTGCTTCAGGCTAAACCATTAGGAGCTTTGAATACGGTCCTGCTGAGTCGGGGTGACTTGGGATGATGAATGTCTGTGAGGGGCTCCAGGCCTCACGGCTACCCCTGTGAAACTTGAACGTCCTAAAGTTGTGTGCTGGGTGTGTGTGTGGGACATCAACGTGGAGGCAGTTATCAAAACCGGGAGGAAAACAGTCTTCTCAAACTCAGGAGGACATCCCTTGGGAAGACGGCATTTTGGGGTCACCCTTGATGAAATGCCTGTAAAGATTAGGGGGTCATTAAGGTGGGGGCGCCTGAGGCCCTTGATGTGTTTTATTGATGGCTGTATAAATCACTCGCCTCTTTAAGCATCGGACTAATGGATGATGTTGTTAACATGCTTATCTTGAAAAAACATAATTTTCTAAATGTTTCACTCCTCTCATAAGTAGTAATTTAGGTGAAAACCTGGTCAGCTTATAGTAAAATATGAGGGAAAGCAAACGATAAAGTATAAAAATGGAGGAAGATGTTACATAAGTCCAGATGAGGCCTTTGCAGATAGTCTCTGAAATTCAGGCTTTTCAAAATGGACATCCAAGAGACAAATAGAGAGCACGTTACAGGTTATAGTCAGACCTGTATTATGCTCCCACACACACTGGATTGCTTCCAGATCCATCCATGTAAGGTTGTAACCTCCAGACTGTGGTCCCATAAGGAAAATCTGCCAAAATATATAATTTTTTTCGAAATTATGGAACCAATGCATGTTCATTGGAAACTACTGAAAAGTAAAAGGGAGGAAGTTCAAGTAATCCTCAGTGTTAGCACCTAGAGGCAACTAAGCATCTTGGTGTGTTATATTACATATAGATATATAATGTTGAATATTCCTTTTTATGTTATATAATGTGAGTGTGTCCATATGATTAATACTTATTGAAATGTGCTTATTAGTGACAGTATAATATTTTATTGCAGGGATGTACCATGTCTTATGTTGCTTCCAGTTTTTTTAAAAGATAGATAAAAGTCTGAGATTGATGCCCTGGTATATAACCTCAGGGTACATCTCTGTTCCCTCAGGGTTGGTTCTGAGAAGTAGGTTTCCTGGATCAGAGGTTATAAATGATGTTAAGAAATGTACACGTTGCTGAAAGGCTGTCTAGAAAAGTTGCTCCATTTTAAACAAAAACATTGACATCTCAGCAACATTGTTAGACCTTTTCCAATATCATGGTTTCTGATCTAACCAGCCAGACCTTCCAGGCGAGGGAAGGAACATTCACAGAGCCCTGATCCAAGCCTGCTCTCATTTTATCTTCACACCAATCCCGTATCAACCTATTTCACAGATAAGGGGATATGCTCAGAGAGGGTGAGTGACCCTCAAAGGTCACACAGCCAAAAAATGAGGGGAGTGCTTGGTGATTCACGTTCAAGCTGTCTGATTCCAACGTTCATTTTCTGTCTAAACTTCCAAGGTTCCCCCCACGTAATGTTTATATTCACCACTGACTCTGCCGAGAACAAGTCCTAATTTTATTTTCTACACGAAACATGCAAGTCTCTTAGAGAACACCTCGTGCTTTAGGGGCACTTAATGAACGTGTTTCCGAGACTCTCGAGCACCTCACTCTGGGAAGCACGCGGTGCAGGCCAGGGTTTCGCTTCCAGGCTAAGAGGTCTCTCCAGCCACGTCAGGCGAGCATCCCTTGCTGCTGTGTGAGCATGCACACGTGTTCAGTAAGCTCCTAGGGAAGGCACTTTTTTTTGCAGAGGTAGGAAATATCTTTTTCAAATTCCGCACAATCATGCAAAAATCTCTCCAGAGCAACCTTCGGGCTTCAAAGCATCAAAGATAGATAATAGTGTTAACTGTAACAAGCAGAGATTTCTTTTGAGTTTATTGGTCAACGTATCTGCCATTTCTACCTCATTCCGAAGCCCCTCTTGGAATCATGGAGACCAAAAACAATGCCTGACAATCGGCCGTTCTCTGTTCCAGGTGTGTGAGTATCCCGACGGGACCAAGTCTTTGAAGCTGGGCGACTTCGGGCTGGCCACCGTGGTGGAAGGGCCCCTGTACACCGTCTGTGGCACACCAACCTACGTGGCTCCAGAAATCATTGCAGAAACCGGGTGAGACCCCTGGTGGTTTGGGCTGTGCCCTTCTTTGGGGAAAGGTATGTTTTGGGCATCCTCCTGTGTTTCCACGTGACTCCCGAGAAGGTGGAGGGAGGGAGAGACGGCTTACCTGCACCATGACTCTGATCTTGGGAACTTAAGTTTGTGCTTTTACGTTCAAGAGCCCTGGGCCTGGGCCAGGACTTTTGTTCCCAGGCTGGTCATGGGAACATGGCAGTGTCCCCAAGGTTGTAATTAGGACTGGGAGAAAAGCAGATGCCTTTGCCCAAAGGGCAGTGAATTCCTCTACATGAAATGGACAGTTTGATACTGAAAAGGCACCCCCCGCTTTTTTTTTTTTCACAAAGGCAAGTACTCGGGTAATGTGGAGGGTTCTGGGGGTAATATCGTTATTTCTCCCCCTTCCACCCACTTTGTTTCCCTAGCTATGGCCTGAAGGTGGACATTTGGGCAGCAGGCGTGATCACGTACATACTTCTCTGCGGATTCCCGCCGTTCCGAAGGTCAGCACAACATTTGAATTGTACTCGTAAACCCTCTCCCTGGATCAGGGAGCAGATGTTACTCCTGGCAGTCAGGACCAGAGCTGGTCAGTGACAATGCCAGCTAAAACGTATAGAGACCTGCCTTTCACTCTTTATCTTATTCTACAGCCTGTTCATGTGTATCCCTTGACCACACCTCTGATGTGAGGCCAGGGCCTTTGCTGTGTATGAGTTTCTCATGGTCATTCTTCTGTAAACCACACCCACCGTCCAGTGTCTGCAGTTTCCATTCTCAGTTATTTTCAAGGGGAGTGAGATTTAAAGATCCTGCGAAGCAATCTGATCCTTCTAGGAAAGCCTTTTTCCAGTTTTTAATAGTTGCCTCTCCTACTTAACTTGGGAACAGCTTTTTGACCACTCATTTTCCAAAGCATTCAACCTAGTTCTTACCGAAAAGAGAACTTACAACATTCATTGTATCCACTCACATAATACTCAGTGGAGTAGAATTACAGACACTTTCTGCATAAATAGGCCTGGGAACAAAGGGATTGAGTCCTTGGTAACCATGCCCCTGGGAGCAGAGGGGGCCACATGCGGATCAGGGTGTGTCACGGAGGGCACGGCACACTTGTTACTCAGCCGTGAGTGTGCACAGGTTTGACATGGGGCTTCACCCTCAGCACTTCTTTTGATCAGTTCCGTCTCCTTCGTTGGAGTGACTTTGAAGCAGAAGTTCACCTATTGAGGCACATTTGATTTTCTTCTGGGCTTTCTCGAGCGCTCTTTTCATTTTTATCTCTTCTTTTGCTCACTTTGCAACTGTTTGTTGAGTAGCTGCTGTGTGCTACGAGCTATTCTAAATGTCAGGAATCAAATGGCGAACACAACGTGTCCTCTGAGGTCATGGTATGGACAGTGTGGTGTTAGGTCTGAAGGTGAAAAACAGGCTTGTTTCATCACCACACCCAACCATTGTATTATGAAAGATTTCAAACATCCAGAAGAGTTGAAAGTTTTATCTTTTTGAAATGATCGATGTTCAGCTGAGTTGACCGTTTTTACGGACACTACCGCGAACGTGGGAGTGACACACAGGTGTCAACCTCTCCTTTTGAGAGTCTCAAGGGTAAAGACACACATCGCAAGAATATGGATCAAGAAAAGTAAACGGGACGTTGGGGTATGCTCAGCGGAGGGCTGGGAATCACAAACATTCAGTGAAAGGTGCAGAAGTGAGTGGGGCCTTGTCCTCGTGGCGTGGGTTCCGTGTCTACAGGTGGAAAGCCTTCTGCCTGGCCATCGGCGTTGTGGTCTTCCATCAAAGACGTTGCCCAGGTGATTGCACAGACTGTATGATTATTGCACACATCACTTAACATTTTCTAAATAACAAATGACTCCTACAGTTTGGGCTGTCAGTTCTGTGCATCAGTTAGGCGGGCCTTCCGGTCTGGTCTGGGCTGGCTCAGTGGGGGTTTGATGGTCCAGTGTGGCCTCACTCACGTGCCTGCCAGTTGACTCAGCATCAGCGGGGACAACCGATATGACCTGGCCGTGTGCCTTTCAGCCTCCAGTGGGCTAGCCTGGGTTTCCCATCACAGTGGATTCAGGACTCCCCAAAGCAGCTAGAAGAGGGCCTGAGTGCTTTTCAAGTCTCCGCTTGCTTCACATTTGCTGATTGATGTCCTGTTGACCAACTGAAGTCAAACAGCCAAGCCTCGAGTAAGTGTGGGTGAAGATTACCCAGACTTACAGGGAAGGGAATCATTTGTGGCCATTTTTTCAATCACGCGGTGCCCTGGCTGGCTTCAGCAATGACCAGTTTTGGGAACTAGTAAAGCGTAGAGGGTAGTGTGTTATGCTAGCTGTTGATCTTGGGGCCAGTTACAGCGTAATTCCCCTCTGTGATGGTGCACCCAAGTGGAGACCAATCGGAAAAGGGTATCAGGGAGGGATCAGTGTTAGAGGAAGGTGTGCTCACAACTCCCTCTAGTGTTTCCACTTGTCAGTGCAGCTGGGAGTTTTTTCCTTTGACTTTGCTTTTTTACTTTTTAACAAAAGTGAGGCTCACATTAAACAAAAGTATGTGCTTATTGTGACTTGATACCCAGTGGACAGTAGCTTCTTTGTTGGATCTGGAGTTAAGGCTGGCTAATCAAAGGCAGTAAAGCTACTGCCCTTAAACATTCTACTCAGAAGCTGGTCCCACAGCTCCAGGCAGCTTACTTAGGAAATTTACAAAAATGCTTCCCATCTTTCCTATGCTGTGATGAGAGGGAATCTGTAATATTAAGTGCTTGTTACAGAGGCATCTTCACGGCACAGAGACCTGGAGAGACCCCAGGACCGCATAGGGAGCACAGTATGGAAATGGTCCTGTAAATCGTGATAAAGGGCCTGGTATGAAACAGATTGCATAACTTTGTACCTAAAATGAAAGTCCTTCAAACAGATATTTCAAAACATTGTCTTTGTTTTATACCCAAAGTAATTTTAACCCAAAGCCTTTTAACTGAAATTGTTACGTGGGGTTTACAGTTTCCGCCTCTTTAGCTCTGGTGTGTCTCACTCTTCTTTTTCCAGGCTTTGGTCTTAGGCTGACATGACTTCTTCCTTCCATCTTCTCAACCCCAGGATATTGGTTTTCTAGAGGCAACCGACAGTTTAGTTATTGCCTAAGCAAGTCTGTGTTAGGGGCACTGACAAAGAGGAGTATTTGCATGACTAGATTGAGACTTTTTTGTTTTGTTTGTTTCTCTTAAAAACAGGCACAGCCCATAGACGAAATGTTTGGGCATCACGTGTAGAATAGCTCACCCAGGTTCTCAGGTTACCTAGCCTGGCCTTGACGTTGCCTTGACTCATCACTGAAGAGAGAGAATGGACGCAAATTCTTTCGTTGTTTTCGAGGTTTTTCTTAATGCACATTTTTAGGCGTAGAGCACCTTGATTCTGGGCTGTCTTGTTTTAGGATAAGTGCCCCCAAGCATCTTAGCCAGATTGTGGCGTATACATGTGGTAATAAATCCAGTGTCGATTCGGAGTGGCTTTTCTTCTGTGACTACTAGAAGAATAAATGATCGTTCGCTTTCTGTTCTTTTAGTGAGGGAAGCCTGAGCCGCTTGCGGTTCACAGCATGGATGCTTGGGGTGAATCCTAATTGCCAGGACATTCCGTGGTTCTGTTTGTTGACTCAGGCTATGTTTGCCAAGAACCGGAATGAATGCTGCAGACTCACTTCCAACTTCTTAGCTGTTTATTAACAAAATAAGAGCCATATGTATTAACAGAATATAAGTCACTTGAGATTCCAGGGAAAAAAAAGAAAAAGGGAGATGACTGGAGCCATAGGGATGGAGGGGTTGATTCTGGAAAGAGGTGATTTATTTTATAGCTTCTACTACTGTCTCTTGGCGTCCCCTGGTTTTCTAAAGGTTTTCGTAGAACCTCATTATGTTTTAGGTGCATCCTTCACGTATTTTGAAGGCCAGTTGAGCCTAGTGCAGTCAGTAAGGAAATAAGTGAAAGGGAAAGAAAATGTTTAGACATCTAGAAAAAAACACTTTGCCCTGGCCAGTGTGGCTCAATTGATTGGGCATCATCTCGTGCACTGAAAGGTTGCTGGTTCGATTCCTGATAAAGGCTCATTCCCTGGGTTTCAGGCTCAATCCCTAGTGGGGGGCTTGTAGGAGGCAGCCAATTTATATCTCCCTCTCATATAGATGTCTCCCTCTCCCT